CTTATTAGACGATACGAAGATACACCGGAAATATCCTGTCGAGGCTGGCTTCCGCATGTCAGGAGACTGTCGTTGCGTGAAACTCGTCACCGGTTTTCCTTCGCGCCCTTGGGGAGTTTTCCAAATTCGTTCCACTTTCTAAAGATATTTCTGAAACACGACGCGATGGACGTGTTCCTCGAACGCATTAAGGATATTAAATATCGAATATTCTACGAGTGCTGGAGAAGAAAAAAAAAAAAAGAAACAAAAAGGAAAGAAGGAAACACGTATTCCGCCCTATTTTCGAGTTTACAGCGCATCTTCTATTCCCCGCGGTCCGTTTTCTTCTTTATTTCGTTGCGGTTGATGTTACACGTTGAAAATGCCTCCAAAGTAGTACGTATATTAACACTAGAACTACCGATAGTTAACACGAAGCTTTCTGCCGAAAAGCAGTCAAAATGACTGGTTTTTAAAAAATAATAATAGAATATTTAAAAAGTAATAATAGAATATTTTTATATTTATTGATTTATTACTTTCTTACAGAAGAGATTTAATGTTATGTAGTACATTTTTGGTATTATTAATCCATCTGGGACCATGGTCCCTAAACGAGGGTTGACACATTTATAAAATTGTAGAACCAGTCATTTTGACCGCTGTGGTATTTCTAGTGTTAGCATCTAGCGATCCAACGATTCGGAATTTTCCTGATAACTGATATCATCATATCGAATGATAAGCAGTAAAAATTTGAAAAACGTATAGGAAGTAGTACAAAACGAGGAAACTGGTTAAATTGAGGTTCGATAAACAGATTGCAAGACCCTTTTACACTGTGATAAGTACCAGTCATTGTGACTGGTATTGGTACAAGTAGCCTTGATACAAAATTATTTTCAGCTTGAATACATAAAAAGGAAAATAAAATTCATTATATCATTCTTTTAGTTATCGTTGCGAAAGTCAATACATCATTGCGGAAAAAATATAACACGAAGTAGGAATTTGAAGATAAAATTATGAAACCAGTCAACCTGACTGGTGTGGTAGTTCTGATGTTAAATCACGATTGATAGCGAATCAGATATTAGTATTTCGAGGACAGATTGAAAAGGTGAAACGTGACTTTGTATGTAAATTCGATCGCAGTCTATTGTAATCTACGTATTAAGGGTGAATAGTAATTTCATATAGATTTCGATAATTTAGACTTCCGTCTAAATAATTCCCCTAAATAACACAATTTTTTAACAAATTTATTCTCTAATTTTCGAACGCTATAGAACACGTAACGATCCTATCAACACACGGTAATATAATTTCCTTTACTTTAATAGATATTCGATTGAACGATTTTCGAACGTAACACGATTCTAAACCACTTTCCTCTGATTCTCGTATTTTATAAAACGCACAACGACGTTCTTATCGTACTGCAATATAATTGACTATATCGTACTGTGCATAATTACCATTTTCTACACGGACAGTTATTGATTTTATTGTTACAGATGACCTACAAGATACAGTCAGATATCTGGGCATGATTCTGGATAGAAGAATGATATGGAAATAGCACATCGTAGATAAATCCAAATAACTGAAATTAAAACTAAAAAAATTCTACTGGCTCATTGGCAGACGCTCCAACTTAAACACGCAGAGTAAAATAATGCTATACAAAGCCATATTAAAACCTGTTTGGATCTATGGGATCCAACTATATAATTAATGTACTTTACCTCGATAGATTTTTGATCACACGATCTCACGAACATCACGATCTCATTTCCAATTTAATCCTAATTTAATTGCTCTAATTTTTCTACGATCGTATCTAATTTTCATATATTGCAGAGTAAAATAATGCTATACAAAGCCATATTAAAACCTGTTTGGATCTATGGGATCCAACTATAGGAAACAGCGAGTAATTCCAATATAGAAATTCTTCAACGATTCCAATCAAAAACTCTAAGATCCTTACTAGATGCACCTTGGTATGTTACCAACGAAACAATCCATCGCGACCTTAAGATACCTGCAGTTAAAGTAGAAATATCCAAATTCAGCAATAGATATAACATAAGAATTAACGACCACCAAAACCCACTAGTTACTCAATTACTTGACACGACAAATCAGATCCGCAGGCTAAAAAGACATTACCCTCTATATTTAAACATTAGATTCAACTAGAATCAAACATACGACATTTTTTTAAATTTTTTTAAATTTTTTAAAAAATTATTTTTTAAATTTTTTAAAATAATTTCTTTTTTAATTTAAAAAATTTTTTTTAAATTTTTCCATCGAGACAACGATTTATAGTGAGATCTGTTATAACGTACCGCACGCGTACCGAGCGAAAATTCAAAGTCAATTTTCTCGAAAACAAAGCCTCAAACGAAAAATTTTTATTGTATATTCTCGACTTCTTTTTTCTCGTAGAATCACCCCCTTTCCGCCTGTACCACCAGTTACCAACCACCCTGTATAAAGTACACAATATCTCCATTATCACAGAGTAGTAATTTTCATATCAAAAGTTTCTATGATTTCAAATAAAAAATTCTCGAAATTCCAATGTAATGATCGAATATATACCCACGATGATTCCAAGCTTCCCGCCAAACGTATACTTTCATCGTCGGTTATTTCGAATCATTTGTCTCGCAGCCTCTAAATTACGCAGGGCCAGTGCAAGGCAGATTCAGCGCGTTCGCCGGAATCCGCCCTCGCGATCTACGAAAATTTCCCAATTAAAAAACAGCGATTTTGATTAACTTCGTACAGAATGCTGATACCATTGACAGACATTTTTTATGCAAGACATTTTTTTAGTGACAATGATTCAGTTAGGAGTGACAAGAATAATCAAAGTTCAGTGTAACTCCCTAAAATCCTCATATCCTGGAAACTACTTCAGATAAAAAAATCCAAGCGCTTCCGGAGAAATGTACTTTTTAGAGAAATTAAACTACATCAATAGTTCTTTTTCAAAAGTCACACATCATTACAGATTTTCTACTTTCATTAAATTTTTTGCCCCTTGAAAGCGAATTATGGATGCGAAAAAACATTACTTGAATCTGTTTAAAAAAACTGCTTAGAAAAAATACATAATATGTAACAGCATTTGTAAATAAATAATTCCTCGTTGTAAAATTTAAGTGTAGGACTTGAATGTGTATTCAGGCACCGCAAAATCTCAAAAGCAGGCCCTGAAATTACGTTCAATTTTACGAATGATCAACAACGAATCGTTGCTCGGATTTCGCCAACTGATTGACAATGACAGGCAACGATCGAGGAAGATTCCTTGGATCACGTAACACCACGTGTCACACACGTATATCAACAAGAAGCTTCACGGTGAAGGGTAATCTTTCCGCTGCACTGCCTCGTTTATCGGCTGGATTACGGCGTATTTATTCGAGGCGCGAAGGAAGACGACTTTCTCGATAGCTTCTCTCTCTCGATATTTTCATCGGCCAGGGAAACTTACTACCCCCTTTCAATTTCCCTCCGTATTCCTCGAGCATCCGCTCGCTGCATCAGGAATTTCGATAATTCGTTCCCTCGTTTGTGAAATATATACACGCCCTTCTCTACGATTCTCCACTTTTCTTTTTCTTTCATTCTGCTGCAGCATCTCCTCTCTAGCATCTCATTTGTTTAGATTTATTTGCGTTCTCTGATAATTTAGCGAGATAGATGATCGTATATTTCAAATATTTTAGTAACGACGGAGAAATTTTGCGATTAAATCGGTGATAATTGATATCTTTTTTTTTTTTTTTTTAATTAGAATTCTACACACAATATGCTATGTATAATATCGAAAAAAGCAAGTTTAAAACTGATACTTGCTTGGATCAGCATACGTGGAATTTGTATTAAACGTTTCTTCTGTACCTGACAATTGTCTGTTACAGGACAATTATATCACAATTATATTGTACGATTGTTTCTCTTGTCAGTCATAATTCAGTTTTGTACAATTACAGTGTTATTTCCTCCCGTTTCTCCTCTTGAAACTTTCTTTCGCTCGTTACCGTAGATATGAAGCTACGTAATTGAAATTGTTTCGTTGCACGATGCATTATAATCATTCCATTGTGAAACTTTAACTCTCTCATTGATCGACTCTTTTATCGACTCTTTAATAAGACTTCGCCTAAGAAATAAGAAGTAAAAACATTCGAGGTAAAAGAGAAGCTAATTTTAATCGACAAGAAGAAAAAAGATAATCGCAAAGTTCCAAAAATAAATAAAATATTCCTGATGCGATCTATCAATTTACGATGAACATAAACAACGATATAAAGTAAATTGCAATTCTTACAAGAGAAAGGGTTAATATTAGAATGATTCGCGAGCATCCACATTCGTTGCGCAAACAAAGAAACCGCTGGAAACAATGGAAGGAGGTGACGACGTTATAATGGGAAAAGTCCAATCGATCTTCGAACACTCCGTTTCTCCTCGTTCCCGATTATTTCCAGCTACCTCTTTATTTCGCCTCGATTGCAGTGCAAACGATCCGTTCTGTTTTCGCAGGAACTTTGCGATTGTCCTTTGTTCATCCGTTCGAATGGTTTGCAGTATGAATAAAGCCCCGTTTACATTAGGCAACTTTTGGTCCGACGACTAAGTAGATCGACCTTAACTCGTTCAATTAAAAGGTTTACGCTACCACATCGTTATTCGACATTTTGTTGTTTAATCATGGATTAATGCAGTGCGTAAAAAGGTTGTACGCGTATCCTCGGCAATTGCGTTAACACTAGATAGTTAAGCAATTTGCATCATGGCTCTACTTAAGAGGACTGGTCCCAATCACCGCGCGCGGTCGGTCGTAGGTGCAATAAATGACGTCCGAATTCTCCATGGAGTTTATCGAAAATTTACTGTTCAAAACGATTGATAGACAATGTTACTTCGCAAACATCGCATCTTACATTCTTGACAACAGAGGAAAAAAGAAAAAATTGTTTATTTTAAAAAAAAAACAGAAATAAGGAATTAAATCATATTATTTCTCGTGGAATTCTTTAAAATGGTCAATGCAATAAACTGATATAGGCGAGATGCTGACAAACGGGTCAAACGTGATCTCTCACATCTGAAGAATACTTAGCGACTGAAATAAAAAGCATTCGCAGCGCGCGTAACAATCCGCGCTTGGTGATAGAAGACAGTCATCCGATTGCGTAATAATCATGCGACAAATGGTTTAACACGAAGCTATTTCTACCAAACCAGTCAAAATGACTGGTCTTTAAAAAATACGTAATAATAGAATATTTTTATATTTATCGATTTATTATTTTCTTACAGAAGCAATTCCGTTGCAATTCCGAAAGCAATATCGTTGGTTTGTACAATCGGAGCGAAGTTAGAAATAAACATATGGTTTTTTCTAGTTGATTTTTTCACGACGTGAAATGTGGGTGAAAAAATTGGTGGTTTAAAGAAATATGAAACAGTATCATATTTGTTTTTAATACAAACACAAGCTATGATTGTTTTCATCGAAAATCGAGGATCTTCCGGATCTTAGGCGAACAAATGAATTGCGTCCGACCGAAAGTTACCTAAAATAAACGGAAGTTAAAGGAGACACGTGTTTTACCAACGAACGCGTCTGCGTTCTGTTGAAATTGCGATCGGAACGCGTTGTCTATGAGCGTCGATTTTAGCACTTTACCCGTCGAACACTTTTCATGTTTGTTTTTCTTTTTGGGAATTTTATTTTCATGGATAAATAAATATTAATCCACTAAAAGCCAACGCTGCGCTAACAAGTTAACTGTCACGAATTTTATATATTTTGCCCTGGAAGCTGCAACAGCTTGAAATATATTGCACCGTAACATTTATTCTTTGCTAAATACTATACTGCATTTACGTATTCTTTTTCACAATGTTACGTAAATCATTCACATTGCTGAAAATTTCTTAGTCCATAAACATTATCTTATCTTATTATTATTAATCATCCGAAAAAAATGTTGTAACACGTTACACACACTAGTAGCACGATATTCCATTTTCGAATTTCTGATTCACAGATCTTCGGAAGATTTTCAAATCCGTTATCGTACGACAATATTACGTCAAAGAAAGGCTAATCCGTAATTAAATGTTGGAAGCGTAGGAGAGTGTATTTCTGTGTTTCTACGCTATCAATCTCACTACGATTGTGTAAACTTTCGAATAGAACGTCCTACTTGTTGTTAGAACTTCGCTTGCACTCCGGATCACCATGTCTTTCGAACTTTTCCAATTACAACACCTTCTAAATTCTAAGCCAACATTCGAGATTCAAAGCTAATCAACGCTTCAACGTTGTATGTATTTCGTGCAACAGCACAACCGTATTGCACCGTAGTTGAATAGCACTTTGCAAACCTGGAAGTTAGAAATAGAAATTAGAAATTATGAAAAATATTTTGACAATATTCCATGCAAAGAACGTAGGTGCAAAGTTTTAGAACCTGCAAACATCTGAAGTTGTTAAAATTATTCCACATAATATGAAAATTATTCGTTACTGCATAAGTATTGGATTGGCAACTAAGTGATTGCGGATTTCGTCATTAGCTGGTATTGATAAAATCCGCAATCACTTAGTTGCCAATCCAATATATCAATACACTGAGTGTATCATCGCGTATTACTGATCTGATCATTTTGTGAAAAATATTTGTTGCGTCCATGTATGCTGTACACAACGATAGTAATATGGAAATAAAAGCTATCAGCATAGCTTACTAAAAATATTTGTGTTGTCTCTTCATTTAATTTTATCACTCTCGATTGCAAAGAATTGATGATTTTTAAAGCGTTTACTGATTTGGAACGAGCATAGTGTAAAAGGACAGAGAAAAGAAGAAGGAGAAGATAAAAGTTTGCAGTATGGAAGAAATTAGAAATAAGCGAAATAGTAAAAATCGTAAAATGGTTGGAAGCAGACGAATATGAAAGGGAAGATAAATTGATACAGAGAGTATAGAGTGGAAAAATGGTGCTTTTATCTTTGATATTGTATAAAAAGTGACGAATGTCGAACAATCGGCGAATTCGACTGGTTTATTTGATATTTTTTCGAAATGGTATTTGGCTTCTGTTTTCGATTTGACGTGCAGTCAAAGGTAATTGCTTTGGGGGCTAGCAACAAGTGTAGAACGAGAACTTACCTACGAGAATTTAGGATAGAAATTATTTTATTCGCAAAATTTAAGCAAGATAACATGTACAGACGAAATAATATTTTCTCTACTATATAATCTACCAATTTATTCCTTGTAAATGAAAAGCCAACATTTTTAATTCTAAGAGCTACAATAAAACTGTAGCTTAATATTACATAGATTTCTCATATGAAAAATACAATTACAAGAATGAAAAATTCCCATATATATATGTAATATTTTAAAAATACTAAAAAGTTTTAGAGTCGTGACATACAATTTCTAAACAAAACACATAGATAAAAATACCGGAATACGATAGATTTCGGATAAAAATTCAGAAAAGCTGCAAAATTTTTCAATTCAATACTAGGTTTCTAAGCAATAGTCATCTAATAAAAATGATTTCACTGCTTCATTTTTCCATTCCACGTTTCATTTACTCTAACAGTGAGACGCGAAGTCCTGCTCGTGGAAACTGACTTGCAACGTCGTTCATCTCACAGTTAAGTCTCTCTCCCTTTTAAGAAACTAGGCGAGGTGAATTGCAAATACCTTCATTATTCCGCGTTTTCTTTTATTCATCGAGGACAGCTAATTTTTCCAAGAGAGTCGTTCGTCCTGTGAATCGATCGAAGCATTCTCTTTTTCAACGCTCGACAAGCCACAAAGAATCTCCCGTTACGTATTATTATTATTAAATTAACCATTTATCATATTCGAAATATTCCACTGTTCACGGTTAATAGATTCACGATAGATAAAGAAACAAGAATGTTAATGGAATCTGAAAAATTTCATGAATTTTATTGGATTAATAGAAAAGTAATGATTCTGTGTTAAATGGTTCATTTAATCGATCATATGATATCTGTTTCTTCTGATTGTATCATCGCTTTTGATATCTTCGTACAAGCTTCGTAAAAAGAAGCTGATTTCCATTTTAAAAGCATTTAAAAGCATGTTGTCCGATTTTAATCGATTTATTAACCCTTCAACTCTTGTAAAAATATTATTTTCTTAACATTAACTTTACCAGGCCTGGTCAAAATTTAATTAAAAATTCTACATTCGCTGTTATTTATTTTGTTCGTCTAACTTCATGTAAATCATTATATTAAGAAATATTGAGAAATTGATTAATCGGATAATATAAGAATGTACATGAAGTTAGACGAACAAAAGAAATAACAACGAATGTACAGTTTTAATCAAAATTTCGAAGCCGTACACTTGACGGGGCCTGGTAAGGTTAGTGTTAAGAATAGTTATTTAAAAAACACATCAGAACAGATGTAAAAAATTACGAAGAAAATTCTCCTCCTCTTCAATTCTTTCATAAGGTTATCCCTCATCTAAGACACGTCAGGATAAAGGTAAAAAGTTACACAGAAAACTTGTTGCCCCTGCAACCCTCACAGAAACTTATTTCTTACTTAAAACACACGAGCATTTGAAAAAAGTTACAAACAAAATCTTCCACTCCCTTAATTCTCTCATAAGGTTGTTTCTCGTCTAAAATAAGTCAGGGCAAACGTAGAAAATATAAAGAAATCCTGTAGAATATTCTATCAACTCGTTGAAAAAAATGATTTCTTATTCAAAACACGTCACGACGGTGGTGTTGTTAAAAAATTAACTACGTTGTACACAAGTTCGCGCGAGCACGTGCGCGGAAAGAAGACGAGGAAACGTGTCACATCGCGGCTATTTTCTTGGCTCGACGACCTTTAACGGCGGCAACAAGCGACGTCTTGAGGGCTTGTCGGCTGTTTAAAAGTCACGAAGGCTAGCCAGCATCCCCCGTGCGGCTTTGCTTCGAGTGTTTACCCTATACGAGAATCGTTATACGCGAAGAACGTGTGTTCTTTACACTCTTGATAGCCTCCGAACGAGTATTTTCTTTCGCTTTGTATCTCAGAATGAGTCGAGTGAAAGAAGCGTGCGCTTGAAACCTGCATAAGATTTGAGAAATATTCCGATACAAAGAGTGAATCGTTAAATACAGAAATGAAAGTCGAAGGGATGAAAACGGGATAGTTTCTTATTTTATTTTTTACTTTTGTCGAAATATACACCCCTCGTCAAAAAGATAACCCAGGTGTGTTATCTTTAATTTCTCAAAGTTTTGCAAAGTGCTATCTTTAATTTCTCAATAACGCGTGTAAAATTTTTCGTCTGTAACGTGTAATATTAAAACATTATGAGTTAAGAATATGCAGTTCGTTGAAAATAATTAAAAATGTTATGAGGTTTAGTATGTAAGAAAAAAAATTGTTTTATTTTAAGAACGAAATGATAGCACATGTACAGTAAAAAAATAATAAACAACATAAATTACTTATCAAACATATATACTTATTTAGTAATAGATACGAAATAATAAACAACATAAATTACTTATCAAACATATATACTTATTTAGTAATAGGTACGTTTAATAATAGGCCCTGAGAGTGTGCAGGCTACAGATGCATTATCTTATTGAAAGATTTGGTCAGTTCCAGAAATGCGTTCTGCATGATTATTTATTTGTTCTTTGATTAAATTTATGTATCGGACACTATCCATTCTCCCATCGATGAACTTGATACTTGTCTTGCCGAAATAACCGATGCCGGTCCAAACCATCACGCTGCCTCCTCCCATTTGTCGTCGAATTGCTGACATTGTCTCTTTTCTTATGTCATGAAAATAATATTGGAACCCATCAGGACCATGCAACTGAATCTTCTTCGTCTGAAAATAGTACTCTTCTCCATTTCTTTTTCGAATGCATTCTTTCTTTTGCAAAGCGTAAACGTTCTGCTTTGTGTTTCGTTGTTAACGAAGGTTTCTTTTTCAATTCTAGCTTCTTGATATTTTTGCAGGATAGTAGAACTCGACGAACACTTGAAACACTGGCACTAACACTAGATTTTTCAATTATTTGTTCCCTTGTTAACTGCGAGTTAGAAGCTACACGCAAAATTGCCATAATCTTCAACATTTTTTAAGAAATTGTGTATTACTTTACGACATCTTTTTATTACTTTCGATATTTTTGCTACTGATAACTGTTGCTGTTTTAGTTTAAGACTTTGCTTTTTTTCAGACTCGTTTAACTTTTTTCCGCGTCCCATACTTATAAAGTTATATAATATTGCACTGTAATCTTTACTCGTTGATAGATCATGAACTACTGAGCAATTTCTAAACATATGAACAGAGTGTGTTATCATTTCGACCTTAGTATGGAATAGTTTTTCTTTGTTACACAATAAACCTCATAATATTTTTAATTATTTTCAACGAACAGCATATGCTGAGCTCATAATGATTTAATATTATACGTTACAGATGAAAAACTTTACATGCGTCATTGAGAAATTAAAGATAACACACCTGGATTATCTTTTTGACGAGGAGTGTATATATTTACACCGTTAAATATTTTATGTTTCCGTGGGAAAATTATAGAAATATTGGTTGGAAATTTTGTTTCTTAGTTGAGCTAAAGAAGGCCATTTTCCTCAATTTCTACGTTTGACTGAAAGAAGAGATTGTGGACAATTTTTTACTGAGAAATATATATATTTACGTGTATCCTGTTGAATATGTATGTGATATATTTTGTACAAATTTTGTGGAATTTCTCTTAGTGTCAAGTTAAAGAAAGATAGTTTTCCTAATTTTCATATTTGGTAAATAATAAAATTCTGAAGAGATTGTGAATAGAAAATGTTTTTGTAGCGTTAAAGAACGGTAATTATTTTATTCGCGTCCGAAGAGGACGATGAAATGGACAAATTTCCTGAAATCCGACAATTTGTTCTAGTGGAAAATATATTTACAAAGTTAGATAAACAATATGAGAAACATATGCCGCATAATAGTGAGAAATTCCTAGTTCCTTTCATTGTAATAGGGGCAATTCGCCTGGCGGCATGCGATCAAAGGCAAATTCTAATTCGCAAATTACAGGCGCCTAAAGGTATTCGTTTTAAAGCAGCTCAAGGAATTAATCCGTTAAACCGACGGAACGGGGCTAACGAAATTAGACGGAATTAATTTAACGACTTACGCTTCTCCTTCGGTTAGTCGCCAAAGTAAATCGATATTCGCAAATTTTACCTCCACTTTCTCAACGCCAAACGGACCATTCTCTTTTGTTTCTATTGTGTCATAGTAAATCGATGAAACAGCAACGTCCGTTTTTGATCGTAAGAAGAAAACCGCTTTCGTACAGACTTCTGCACTTCTGTTTGTAAATATTGCAACTCTTATAGAAATTGAAACAAACCAGAAAAATCATTAGACTTATCTTTATAAATATCAATTAATATTTATGAAAACATTATGATTCTCTTTACGTCTTAAAGCGTAAGCTGTGAAGAATTCATATTTTCTATGTTATAATTAGCTTCCAGTAAATGATAGAGTTGAACTCTTCTCTCGTTTATATCTCTCGTTTTTTTCTCATTCACTGTGCTTGCACCGAATTTTTTCGCATTCGTACTATTGGATTTTTTACTATGCTTATTATTCTCTACTTCCCTACAATCCTCTAGTATCCTACAAATGATTTCACGAGTCATATTTAAATTTCTGTAGATTTTATTGAATTCGTCGATTCTGTCAATCGGGTTCAGATGAAAAAAATCGTACGCCTCAACTTTTCTGTCCGAATACTTCCGTAAACTGATATATATATATATATAGATAATCTAAGAAGACGAATAAATTATTATTATCACTTGGTTCATAACATTTAGACATAGCTAATTTTAATTAGGCGCAATTGATTCGATTGTAATTAAATTACATTGAAAATATGTGAGCGAGTGTGGTATATATATTTTAAATTTATCATACAGAGAACAAACGAGTTTCTCCTCGCAAACCCAACAGCTAGAAAATTCGATAGCATCCTAGAAAATGCACGTTTCCGCGCCAAACCTTGTTTCACAATTAAAACTTGTCTCGTTCGTGGGACCCGTTAAAACCTAACCTAATTAACGATCGAAACTTTCCATAATTTCGAACGATCACCGTGACATCAGTTGTTTTCAAGCGTTGTATTATATCGTAGCAACGTTTCTGCTGATTTCTTACTTTGGAATCAATTCCAGTTACTTTTCCAAAATCTAAAAAAAAAAAAAAAAAAGAAAAAGGAAGAAGAAAAGAAGAGTAGGGAAAAAGAAAAAGAAGAATAAGAGGAAGAGGAAACGAAAGAGCCTATGGGGAGAGCGAGTTGTTTCGGCGAAAATTAAAAAAAGGAGGGAGAGAGAAAAAAAGGAAATAGACGAAACGTTCCTCGACGAAGCCACGCGGGACAAAAGTATTGCACTGACCCGATTCAATCGTCGATGTTCTCGTTCGAGACGAGCTTAGGCTACGTATCCTATGAAACAATGGACGATTCTTCAACCTGTTAACCGGGCAAAACGAGGTACAGATCGTTATTTGGTTTTACGTATCGTTTTGTTTCTCTTCAAACTAATTAGTATTATGTCCGACGCTTTTATCACCGTGTGGTACATCAAATTCAATGTCCATAGCAAAAATTAAGAAACACTCGATTTTTATCGACGTTAGAAATTTCTATTATATGAATTTAGATATTTAAACAGCTATTTTCAAAAGTCGAAATATTCCATATCCATATTTTACAGCTTGGTTTTTCATCCATTTATGAAAAATTGAAAACTGCACAGACGAACGGAATACATATAATACAGAAATTATCTTTATAGTATTTAGTAAAATAAAGCTGCGAGTATATTCAATTTCTTTCATTCTATTCCAGTTTATTCGTAAAAATGTACATCGGCGTGAACATGCTATTCATACTACGTATGATTGGATTAACCGATCGAGTAATAGTACAAATCTAGAAAAATAGCATTTTCATGTATATATCGAAGAAGTAACTTTAATTCTTTAACTCAAATCGTACTAAAACATTTCCTTTCAGCCATCAAATAAAAGCATAAAATATACAAAGATTGATATTGTAAAATATACATCGTAGAATAGCGTTTGTATAATGGAAATGAATTGAGATTTTACAAAGATTGTGTGCGCTTAATCAATTTCTTCCTAAAGACTTCACATTGGATAGAGATTCTAGGCAAATGTAACGAAGCTGACGAAGTTTCTTGCTGATGTTTCCTTTCAATCCCTAGACAATTCCGAAGGACCAAATTAACCAAAGTTCAAGCTGGCGAAAGTTAACATTTGGCCAGTGAGAAATACGAAGAAACTTCAAGAAGGAGAGCTTAATTTTTGCTTAAAGATATTATTCATGCAAGTTGCAGAATAAATTTAGAGAAATCATGAAGTATCCTAGACAGATCAGGATTGTTTAAAAGCTAAATTCGTAAGTTTAAAGCATCGCCCGATGGCACGCGAATCGGGAAAATATTCTACTGCATTATACTTTACAAACGTATACTATTTAGCAAGTGAAATAGCTTGCCACGTAAAATTTCCGATTTGAATAGACGCAAAATTGCATAAAGCTGTGACCTGAATTTGCCAAAATGGCGTGTTGTTTCGAAATACCAGGAAAACGTTATCTTCCCTATACGCTGCTGATATACTGATACATACTATACCGAATCTCTAATTTTGTTATTGTCTACGAATACAATAATCTGATTTACCACGTTTACGTTGATAATTTATAACGGAATTGAACTTAATTCTACATTAATCGAAATTTAATGAACATTATGTAGAGATTGTTTATATCAGAGTACGTTATGGGAAATCAATTTATGCTACGAATGTATTCAACTGGATGTTTTGAAAAAGAGCATTAAAAATATTCGATTATCTTCAAAATATCAGCGTCGCTGAATTTCTTACTTTGTATCGATATCAACTGATTGCGTTGATCGATTATGCAAACGAACCTACGATTAATCGATATCACGAGAACGTGTTGGATTATTTCGAACCAAATTATTCTATCATCTGTTAAACAGAAACTTTTCTAATCTTAAAATTGTAAGTTAATAAAACCAAGTCAGTTTCAGTTCGATCGTTTTTAATTCTTTCACGTGTAAATATTGTGAAATTTCATCTTCATCTACAACATCGCTGTATAATATTCGTTGAAAGAAATTGAGCCGAAGAACAGCATGAATCCAACGGTTTTGATCTTATGTATTGAAAATTTACGGGACAAGATTAACCATAAAATTAATCCTTCCTTAATCCTTGAATTGGAAATTTCAATTGCAAATTCGCATTTTTATGAATCCGAATCTAAAGATAGAATTAGAACAGATATTTATAGAATATTTTATATATTTTTGCACATTACATTGTGAATTCTATGCATCTTGAACTACCGTTTTTCTTCTTAAATCACAGACAATTTTTAAATTCCAATCTTAGCATTCAACACAATTTTACTACTTTTTCTGTATCGCGTTCTTTTTATCAATAAAGTTTTTCAAAAAATATATATGTGAAGAGACACAAACGTGAAGAAGAATCGAAGAGAGTAACAAGGTTCAATTTATTAATCATCATTTTGTCTCGCTAATTATCACCTCTGTCGTCATATTCCTGTTCTCGGATTTATCAGCGGTGCACAAAATGTTCAAACAGAAATTACACACACAAAAACGTCCAAGAATGTCCATAGCGTATTTCGAAAGTCCCCGAGAGCTTGTTCAGCGAGGGTCAAAGGAGAGATTCGTAAGCTTAGCGACGCGAAGAAGCTGTTCCCGTAAGATAAAGCGATTTAAGTTCGTCAGACGACGGCCCGCGTTTAGGCTAGCGTTTCTCACGCTCGTTAAAACTTGCTAACGGAGCTTGAAGGACTCACGAATCGCGTGCACGCGGTCGAACGGTGAAAATCGAGGGAAAAATCGTCGAACGACCGAGTAAGTCACGGTACGTTGACTTTTTCCAGGTGAAGCTCTGGCTTCCGTCAAAGATCTCTACGCTCGTTAGGTCTACGTTTAGTATATTACTACGAATATTTCTTGGCAACGTATCATAAACTTTTCGACGTAAACATCGAAATAAAATTTATGAACGTGTGATTTATTCTTGGTCCGTTGGCGACGAATGATCTATTTGAATGACACGGTGAGACATTTTGTTCTGGTATCATCTTATCTTTCATTTGATATTCACTGTTAGTTATCAAGATAATAATTTACAGAATTAGCTCAACTTATTATTGATTTTTCTATCGAATGAAGAATCTGAGTTACGTAAATACAGTTTCT